ACAAATTCAAAACTTGGGTTTTACAAAATATTTTCGATCCGGATTTTTTTCCATATACATAATATCACTTTTTCCTGAATAATTTTTAATAGGGATATCCCCTAGTATATCAAAAAATTTGCCCCTATGTTTATGTGTGTTGTAATTATAAGAACTTTTTCGATTCTTATTTACTTGGAATGGTGATCCATAAATATATGGGTCCCTCTTATTTTCATAATTAATAGATCTATAAGATAAAAGATTATATCTATAGTATTTTTGAAAATTCTCATTTTGATTTGGTAATGAATATACTTCGTAATCGTTTTGTTTTTTGTAATGAATTAACTTGCCTTGTAGAGAGAGAAACCACTAAATTATTTAGGCCCAAGGAAAGCTGTAAGCCCATAGGGCATTTGCTTTTGTTGTTAACATGTAATACAGTTGTAAGAATTACTCTGATGAATAGAAATGGTTGGTTTCTTTTATATCAATGCATGTCTAAAGTGATGAGTTTTATGTATTATTTTGAGGGCGTTACATTTAGTCCAGAATTCCGAAGTTTCTTATGTCTTAATTCATAATGAATTATTCCTTGTTTCCAAAATAATCTTTTATTGAAGTCTTAAGAAAAAAAGACGTTCCGTGTATAAAGTTATACTTGCGGGTGTGTTTATTTATTTATTTTATTTTAATTGATAGTAGGGTATGTACAAGTGTTTTTTTTTTTATTATTTGCGTATAATTGATAGCAGAGCATTGGTTAGGAAACAAAAACACATATCGGGGAATGATTCTCCTTGGTTAAGAATCACTAAACCAAATCTTACAAACTTGTGTGGTTTAGATCAATCCAAATACCTAAAAATATTTTGATTGTTGATTACAACCCAAAGAACCCAAACCAAAGAACCAAATCTTACAAACTTGTCTATTTCTATTTTATTGTGTTTCTATTGATCAACCAATATTTTGATTGTCTATTTATTTTGATTTTCAATAACTATGCCATTAATTTATTCTTTTCGTATTGTTTTTGATGTTGTTATCATGGATCCTTTTGGATGTGCTAAATTTGAGCGTAAGCTTGAAGATGAAGAAGAGTTAGGTTCCCATGCAAAAGACCCTATTCAAAGTTTAACCAAGAATGATGTTCTTGAAATGTTCTCCTTTCTTCCAGTTAATACTTCGGCCTGGGATTTGGGCTTGGTGATCCTCAAAATTGCCCGATACCCAGAAGAAGTCGTCGTCATTAACATCCTTATCCGGGGTATCTTTTATTATCTTTTCTCTACGTCGGCGTATCCTAAGGTAATAAACCCAGCCATCATCTTTGGAACCTATGGAGTACTGGTGGAAGATTTCGGCTAAACCGAGGTTCAAGCCTGCTTGGCGGTTTAGCTCGGCAATACCCATTATTATCCGGTATGTATTGGTGGATAGCTGGGTTGGGCATAGTCTGGTTTGCCTAAGAAATTCGCAAATTAAAGGCTGGACCGGGAACCTTAGTCCGGTTTCTATAATAGATAAAACAGTAAAGGGGACAAAGCCTTGGTTGTTCCACGGAATGGTTTCCTTTTTGGCTAGGGTAAGGTGTACATCATCTGGAATGCCATAATCCCTTCGGAATTCGGCCATGCCACCTGGGGTATCTACCAGATACCTATACTTACCCATTTGTGGTATAAATTATTAATAAGTTATCCCGGTCGGAAGATTGGACTCAAGTAGCTCGGTTGAGCACAAGAAGGAATGCCTGGGCAACCTAAGTCTGCAAAGTAGAAAACAAAGGGGTTAAGCACAGATCATCGGACCGTGCTACAATTTAAAAACAAGGTAAAAATGCCCTATTTCGGCTTTAAGGGCAGGTGATATCTCGGTTCGGCAAAAGGTTTGGTAAGCTCGGTTTGAGCAGGATGCTTGTTAGACCGGTTCGCCATCTAGGGGCGGCTTTCTTAGTTCGGTCTAAAAACTAAGAGAGCTGGCTTAGCCCCAGGGCCTAAATCGGTTGACATATGTGCTTTGTTACTTCGGTTGAGCCCCTAGGGGCAGCTTTCGGAGTCTGATATAGAAACCGAGAAAGCTGGCTTAGCCCCAAAGGCTTAGCTCGGTCAATGACTGAGGTTCCTGGTTTATTGGGTTCATACTTCGTTCGGTGATCTTATTTCGGCTAAATTGAATCGGAAATTTATTTTTCAAAGCTACTGTCATCTTACAAGTTCTAGTTCGGTTAATTGTCTAAGGTGATCTACCGCTGTAGCACAAAAATAGTATCCTAGTTCGGTCGGGGCAAGATTTTGGATCAGAGACTAATTTTCTACAACATAGTCCATAAAAGCTTAGTTCGGTTGAAAACCGAGGTTCCTAGTTTGATATGTTCAAAACTCGGTGATCTTATTTCGGCTACAGTGAGTCAGGCGTTGGTGGCTCTTTGAGACTTTCAAGTTCTAGTTCGGTTATTGACTACAGTGATCTACCTATATCGGGCAAACGGGATCCTAGTTCGGTTGCTACCTAATTTTGGATCTAAGGCTAGTTTTTTTACAGAAGTTCATGCGCGTATGAGCTCTGCTATTATTTTGTCGTAAAAGTACAGTTGCAAAACAAAACTATACAAATGTGTTTTGCAAAAAACATACAAAACAAGATATATAGATGTGAAAAGCAAAACAGAGCAAGAAAGAAAGTAGATTTGCTTACCAGATTAGAGAAAAAGGGACTGAAGATGAAAACTGTTGCAGAAAAGGAAGAGCACGAACGGCAAGAACACAGAGAGAGAAGATGAAGAATAGTGAAGGTGAATGGTTCAAAGGCAGAAAGGTTATTTTGTGAAAGAGGAGAGAGAAAAGAGCGGCAAAAAGGGGCGGGACTGTTCAAAAAGTTCGAAGTACGAAGGCGGGAAAATAATCATGAAAGCTTTGTGACCCTTGGATTACACTTAGAATAAAGCACCATACACTAATTAAGGTAATCCAAAGATCATAACTCTTTCATGATCATTTTCATGAAAAAATTTTCATGATTCCTAACTTTTCTCTTTTACCAATGTTTTAAAAATCAAACCAGTTTGATCAGGTTGGTGAGAGGGTAATTTTTGGGAAAGAATTGGGCCGAGCTGTGAGTTGGGCCCTGCAGCCCAAAGTGTGAAGGAATCGGTAAGAAGCCGTAAGGTTATTTCGGCCCAGTAGAGGTATAGATACTCCGGCCCAGGAGAAGTGAAGTTATTCCGGCCCAGGAGAGGTGTGGTTACTCCGGTTCAAGAATGTGTAAAGCAACTCCGGTCCGGTGGCAGTTTGAAGTGAGTCCGGCCTTGCATTTAGTCCGGTCGTGTCGTATTATGGTTAGGTCGGTCAGAACTTGCTACTTGGAAGTTTGAACTAAACACACCATGGTTGAACAGGGGAAAGCCGAGATAAGGAGTTGGAAGAGAGGGCCGAGCTAAGGACAGTTCGGCCTTCTCTGTGACTCTACATAGCCAAGCTTATTTCGGTCATATGGTAGTTCGGCCAAAGTAAAAACCATCCCACTTGGTTTAAGCCGTGGGGGAGGGTGTAAAAGGATAAGCATTATCCTTAGGAGTATGAATCCTAGGAGGACTCTGCATGGAGAAATAAAAGTCCTACTAGGATTATGCCACTCGAAACCTATAAAAGCTCACAAGCATCACCTTGGAAGAGGTAATTGAACACAATTCTTTCTGAGAACATAAAACTTTGTCTATTTGTCAAGCTTACTGACTTAGGCATCGGAGAGGTTTCCGGCACACACCCGCCGGCTAGCTCACGTTTGTGTTTTCAGGTGGTAAAGTGACGTCGTACGGAGGAGCGTGGACTTGGTCAACAGGATTATACGAGGAGAATTATTTCCTCCCCGTACAAATTTTAATAATATCAATAATTAAAAAAATAGTAGTAGAAAATTTTAGACAAAAAGATTCAAGTATAAGGTTATAAATTATTTTGTATTAAAAAAATCTAGATTATAAATAGAATATCTAGTTTATTGGGAAAAAAATTAAAAATTTCTCATATCTACTAGAAATTTATAAATATTTAAGATCATCTAGAATTTTTTATTATTATTTATAATTAAAATATAATTTATCTAGAGAATGAGAGGGTTTGGGACCAACACATGTATGGATCTAGATTGAGAGTGAGTGTGGCGTAAGTTTTTAAATAATTTTTTTTTGAACTTTTTAAATTCAAATAATTTACATATACTTAAACGGAAAATATTTTTTTAATTTTTTTAAAAATCACTAAATTCAAAAAAATATAAAATTTAATATTTTACGACATTAAATGTATGTTGTCTTAAGTGCAACTATTTTATAACATATTTTTGTATGTCGTGAAAATATATAATTTTTATGGCATACTTTTGTATGTCATAAAAAAATCGGATTGAATTTTTTTTTTTTTTTTTTTTTTGAAGTTTTCACGACATTCATTAGCATGTCATGTAAAGTTATAATATTTTATAACATGAAATGTATGTCGTCTTAAGTGCGAATATTTTACGACATATTTTTGTAAGTCGTAAAAACATGCATTTTTTACGACATACTTTTGCATGTCATAAATATATGAATTAACAACTTACATGGTATATATGTTGTTATTGACAAAACATTAATGGCTTGCAAAAAAAAAAATGTCGTAGAATGTACTAACTACAACATGCATTTAACGCATGCTGTAAACATAATGCCGTAAATAGTTAGTTTTGTTGTAGTGCGATTCCCTCCAGTCTTTGGACTAGGGGTTGTTTGGGCCCGTGTGGATTACTACGAGTTTTGTTTTGATGATTCAAATCGTTTATTTTGTTAGATATTTTGTATATTTCATTCATAAAAAAAATTACGTCTATCCGATAATTGTAACTTATTTAATTTATTATCTTTGTTATTAAAAAATTGTATGGTTCATTTTTTAAAAACACAATTATCATCTATTTTTTTAATGCAAATAAATTGAAAAAGTTACATTAATTGGATCAATCCAATTTTTTTTTTTTATAAATGAAATATATGAAGTGGTCAATAAAATAAATGATTCGGATCATCGAAGAGGGGCTTATGGTAGGTCCTATGGGCTCAAATAGCCCCTTCTAGTCCAAATTTTGAACTGAAGGCAATCATCCGCCAATGAAATTTAGGTAATTTTATTTGCATGTTACAAGAAATTTCAATACATATCATTTATGTTATTTTTTTTATTTTTTGTTTTTTTGTTACAGGAAAATCCTCCCACTTTCCCACAGGTCTAGAGTAGCGCCCCTTACAGAGATCACCAAGGTGTGCTGTAGTCGGTTCTGAGTTAGGAGACTATAACTTGAGAATTTGCCCTAATCTCCCAAGACAACCTCCATTAAAATCAGGACTCGCGCAGCGAGGGAACATTGGACTTACACCAAGTGTTGTGGTAGCAACAACTTGAGACTAACCTCCTAACCAATTACGCTACACTCAGGAGATTGGCCTAAAGGGTTTCAAACTTGAGACTTGGGATCTTAACCCCCAGACCTTTACCAAGTTGCCAAACACCCTAAGGTTATCATTTATGTTATTCACATATAAGATTTTTATTTCAAAAATTTATATATACAATATTCATGTATTTATTGATGTTTTTCTCTCCTACATTGAAATTTTTTTACACTAATTATGCATTGTATATTATTTTTATTATTATAATTATAATTCATTGAACTTCAATATGATATGAGAGGAAATAAAAATTACCACAATAATTATGTGAGTTCATACATTGCCACGTGACACAATTGTGGATTGTAATACGTAAGACGATGGTCCAGACCTAGTTAAACACTACAACAATATTATACATTGAGTAGAATTCATCGTGAGATGAGATTGTATTAATATAGAAGTTCTAAACAATTAGAGATTGTTTGAGGAATGAATTCTAGAGCACTTATACAATTTTACAATTATATACACACTGATACACACTGTCTACCCTCCCCGGTTTTCAAAGAGATAGACTGTTGTAGAAAAACTTTGGTTGAGCTGATTTGTCGTGTAGTGTCGGCTGAAAAGATTTGGCTGATCACTTTCCGCCTAATAATGCAGGTTGCTCCACGTGTCCTGGATAAGGTTGGAGTCGATCAGGAGACAACTGCATTTGATAGTGGGGTCCACTATACTTCTATCCTGTTGATGAGATTGTGATATTCTTCATCAGTCTCTGATGGAGGGGAATCCGGATCTTGGCTGTATTGCTCATTCCGGAAATGTTCTACATCATCCGCGGTCATGGCTAGTTCCAACGGAAGATCCAAATTATTTCTCTTTTTGAGATTTATTAACATGTCAAGAGCCTCATTAATTTGTGTAGGAGACCTTTGATATGTTATGGGAAAATGGGTTACAAATAATATTCTACCATCTGTAACCATAAATGGCAATTTTGCTGAGCCATGGATGTTGGACGCTACTTGTGAAACAGATATTAGACTGTCTATCCAATATTCTGTCAAAGAAAGTTTTTGGATATTTTCCAATCGCTCTCTTCGGTGATCTTCATCTAAATAATCATCTTCAAATTCAAAATCTTCAGTTTCTTTAAGATACCAAATTTGGTATGGTTGGAAAAAATGTTCTTGTTCTCGCCAACCAACAGTGCTGGAGATCCAGAAAGTAAAATATTTGCTCCATCGAAAGCCTTTTACTATCCATGAGAGCATTGCTTTGATAATCATTGGATAATCTATCCATTGGATTAGATCTAAAATTTGGAAAATAACTTGATTAGTTATTCCCCAATCTATATCCTCAAAAAACCACATGTCATGGTTTGTCATAATGGTTATTTTGGGAATTCCATCTTTCAAGTTTAATTGATCATAAGATCATTCTAAGATTTGTCTAATCTTATCATGATGATCTTCAACCCGATTTTTGATTAACATAAAAATTTCTTTGGGAAGCAAAGTTCTTGCTTTTTCAAAAAGACAAATTCTTTTTATTTGTTCAAAAACTGGATCAGAAAAACTCATCTGATATGAGGTCTGATAGTTGAACAAAATTGTTTATTTTTTCAAAATTAAAATCTTCATTCCAATTCATTTGTTTAAGAATATTGAAACAAAGATTTTTCAAATCTTTTAATTTAACTGTTTGCTCAGCTAATTTGTTAGCCAGAACTCCCATGTGTTTTTGAAATTTCACTTTGTGGTCTACAATGTGAGTTTTCCAAACTCCATTGAGTTCTGTATAAATTTCTCTAGATATACCAGGGTTGAAAAAATCTTTTATCTCAGATTCATCTGGTTTAGATGTCTGAATATTAGTTGGAACTGGGTTAGTTCTCATTTGATTCCTTTGATAAATAGGCATAGCTGGTGCACTGTAAAAAGCTTTTTTAGCTTTGGTCATGCTATCATATGCTTTAAAGCTTGCTCCTGAGTATCCACAAACTTGTGTTTTGCAATCATTCCATTCTGTATAAATTCCAGGTTGTCTTCCTGCAAACACAACATAAACTTTTTCTTCTCTGGGGATTGCTTTTTTAGCAATTGTCACCCAATCTCCTTGAGCGGGTTGTTTACCCTTATCCATTGTTTTCTCTTGGTCTAGAGGTCTTCTGCAAAAATTAAATTTACTTGTTTAGCAATTTAATTTTCTGAAACAATTTCTGCTAAAAAAATCTGCAAGAAAATTGTTAGTACCTTTAAGATGTTCTACTTCAAAAGTATATTTAGAAATTTTATTATACCAGGCTAATCTTCTTCCTTGCTCAATAGGTTTTTTATTGATTAAAAAATCTCTTACTGCCTTATTATCAGTGCGCACAATAAAATTTTCTGGGGCTAAATAAATATGAAAACTCTTTATTGCTAATTTTATTGCAAGTAATTCTTTTTTCGAAAATAATATATTTCTGTTCATTTGGTTTAAATGTTCCAGAATTATATCCGCAAATTAACTCTTCTTTTTGTAATTTTATGGGTATTGGATTTTTTCTTGGTCTAATCCCATTTTCTGATAAAGGTATCTCTTTATCATACCATAAATTACTTGGTATTGCTTTAAGAACACATCCCCAGCATGCTTCTGAGGCATCTGTTTCTAAAATTAATTTATCACCTGTTTTAGGAAGATAAACATCTGGTAAAGTTTTAACATTTTCTTTAATTTGTTTAATTAAAGCAACATCTTCTGTTGTCCATTCAAAAATAACATTTTTCCTTAATTTGGTTAACCAAGGAATTTCTATTTTTGAAAAAATTTTGATAAAATTTCGTCCATAATTTAAAATGCCTAATAAACTCTGTAATTGTGTTATATTTTCGAGAGTATCTAGAAAATCTCGTACTTTGGACAAAATATGTTCTTATAATTTTAAACATTTCTGATCTAAAATTATTCCCAAAAATTCAATTGATTCTTTTTCTAGTTCAATCTTTTTTGGAGACAAAATAATTCCATGTTTTTGAAATTTTTCACAAAGTAATTTTAAATGTTTCTTATGTTTCTCCTTAGTTTTAGAGAAGATAAGTATATCATCAATATAAACTACACAACAATCTTTAAGATCATTAAAAATTGTGTCCATCCACCGTTGAAATACCTGTGGTGCAATATTTAACCCAAAAGGCATAACATTCCAGTGGTAATGTCCTCTAGGTGTACTGAAAGCTGTCAATTTTTTTTGACTCTTCAGCGAATTGAATTTGCCAAAATCAACTTTTACAATCAAATTTGCTAAAGATTTTTGATCATTTGGTTAAGTTAATCAAAACATCTTTTCGTGGAATAAAATATCCATCAAATTCTAAATTTTCATTTAGCCGTTTATAGTTGACTACCATTCGGGCTTTTCCTCTTTTAATTTCAGCATGGTTTCTTACCATAAAAGCTGGACTAGAGTGAGGGCTTTTAGTTTCTTCAATTAAATTTTTGTTTAAAAGTTCCTGGAGTTGAATATCAAATTCATCTATATCTTGTCTAGTATAGATCATTGGTCTTACTCTGATGATAACATTAGGGTCTTTCAATTTTAAACTACAATAATGTGGACTACGTTGCCATAGTTTTAATGGATGTTCACTAAAATTTTCTTCTAAAATTTTATAAATCGAATGTGATTCATCAATAGTTTTGATGATGGGAGTTAAATCACCACGCGGCACGGGCACAAACTTTTTATCACAAATATATTTATGTTGTTCTAACAAGGGAATATGAATTAAGACATTATTTATGCTTAATGAAATAGCTTTTTCCTGTATTTGCATTGGAAGGTATTTATATATAAAATTATTGCCAAGAAGGAAATCTCCATGCATATACGGAAAACATAAATTTTTTGGTATAATGAACTTGCTATCATTTAACCAAATAGCTATATTTTTAGCTTTGAATTGTATGGAAGTATAGTTGCCATCAATTCCAGTAACCAAAATTGGATGCTTCATTAGTGTCCATTTTTCTTTTGATATAGCATTCCATTTACATGAGCTGATTGTAGCTCCTGTATCTATGAGAACACTGAGGCTATAGGGTTTATAACCTGCAAAATTAAATGTTCCCAATACATACGTGTACCTTCTTTTTCCTTGGCTAGGAGAAAAAATAATATCATCATTTTTTGTTTGAAAATGATATATATATGCAGACTTAATATGTTCAAGTTTTCTTGTTCCTGGAAAAATAGGAATCTGAACACTGTTTGAAGTAATAGATTCTTGATTAGAATTATTACTTGATTCTCCAATGCTTAACTTTGAAAATGATTTGTTAGGAAAATCTTTTTCGAATACAGAAGTTGATCTTTTAATTTTTGGAACTGTATTTTCAATATATAAATTTTTTCCTGATGCCTGCATTTGTAATTGTGCAAGGTTTTTTGTTTTAGAAGATTCTCCTTGTCCCACTAGGTCTTGGATTAACCATTGTCGAGGGACTTCTAAATTGCTCCAATTCATTAGACGAGATTGTATTACCGTGTCAAATGGTCTTGGTTCAAAGATTTCAACGATTTTATTATCGTTTGATCTTGTTTTTGTTTCAGAAAATTTGGTTAATTCATGAATTGTTTTCCAACGAATAGCCAAATCATGAGAATTTGATTTCATTCCTAATCCTTGTGTTTTAATTCTTATTCTGATTGTATTTTCAAGATTAGGATCATTTATGGAAATAAAGAAATTTGGTCTGACATTAAACCAAACTACTCCATTAGTTAAATTAGACTGAATTCCTCCAATGATTGCGTTCATTGGGTCGAAAAATCTTTTATCAAAAATTACTGCCAAAATAGGAGTATCTATCCCTTTGGCGAAATAAGGCTGTTATGGTTACTTGGATTAATCCAATATGAATATATTGAATTTCATGATATTTTCTTTTTCCATCTTGCAACCTTTTTCTTATCAAAAAAAGGAATATCAATATTTCATTCTTCTGACCATTTTGCTTGAGTGTTACCACTGTATTGTTCAAACACTCTTGCTGAAAAGAAGTTGAATTTTGAAAGTTTGTAAATTTCTGGAACAGCAACTTCTTGCATTTTTTTGAATTTTGCTAATTCTTCGCTGGTAAAAGTTTTTTCTTCTCCGATTACATCTCCGAGTCGAATTGCCTGTAATTCTTCTTGAGATATATTATCTACTTCTTGAGATATTTCTTGACTATTATTAGTCATCATGAAGATTAGTTCTTCATCTAAACTTTCTTCATCACTAGAAATTTCATATAAGATTTCTTCTTCATCAGAAATTTCTTCTCCGTATATTATTTCAAAATCTTATTCTTCAAGGACTTTAATCATTTTCTTTGCACTTTTTCCCCTTTTTGGGCATTCGGGTGCATAGTGACCTTCTTCGTTACAAATGTAACATTTACAAGTTTTCTTTTTTGAAACACTTGTTGGTTTCTTTTTTCGAATATACTTTTTTTTTTTTTGAAAAAGTTTTGTTCTTTTTCCAAGGTTTCCATTTATATTTTCTACGTTTTTTGGAAAATCCTTTTCTTTTAGGAAATGTATTACAACCAATTTTTCAATTTTCTTTTAAAATTTTATCACAACATTTTTTTATTGTATTTTGAGTTGAAAATTTGATTTTTTATTTATTTTTTTGCCTTTGCTTCTAGACACCGATCTGTTATCAGTCTTAGAACATAATTAATGCGAAAATCAAGATTATCATATTCTTCCTTACCCATTTTTTTGAGAAAATCAGGATATGTTTTAATACATAACTCATCCCATGGATTAAGAAGTTTATGAAAAAATTGATCTAACCAGGGTTGATTTGCTGGTGGATCAATAAGATAATAATATTTTTTAGAAGTTTGAACATAGTCTTCAAAAAGACAAATATTACATAATTCTAATTTAGTCAAAATATAATTTGCATATGTTTGCAAATTAGTATCTCTTGCAAAACCACATAAATTTTCTTTTATGATTTTTGCAAATTCAGCTAAAATTGTGTCAAGTGTGAGAAAATTTGTTAACAAAGCCGTTTTTTGACTTTTTCCAATTTCAGACTTTTCC